CTTTAAATGTCTGATAGAATTCTGCTGTAAATCCATCTGGTCCTGGGCTTTTTTAGTCAGAAGGTTTTTTATTACTGTTTCAGTTTCTTTTTGTTTTATGGGTCTGTTTAAGCTGTTAATCTCTTCTTGGTTTAGTTTTGGTGGGTCCCATGCCTTTAGATACCTGTCCATTTTCTTTTAGGTTTTCAAATTTAGTAGCATATAGGTTTTTAAAGTATTCCCTTATAATGTTATGGATCTTTCTGGCGTCTGTTGTGATGTTTCCCAATTCTTTAAAATACACAATTAACCTACCTTTGTTTAGTAGTGAGTACTAGAGAGCTAAAAGATACTTGTTTTTATGGTTGTGAGCCTGAGCCTTTAATGGCTGCGACAGCTCTCTTTGGGCTGGAGAGATGGCTCAGCAGTTAAGAACACTGGTTGTTCTTGCAGAAGACCCAGGTTCAAATCCCAGCACCCACATGGCAGCTAACAACTGTCCATAACTCCAGTTCCAGGTGATCCGATGGCCTCTTCTGTCCTCCATGGGCATTGCACGACACGGGTGCACTTACATGCAGGCAACACATACATATACATAAAATTTAAAAAAATATTAAGTAAAATATTAAAAAAAAGATATTTGCTTTAAGGCAGATGTAGAAGGGAAACAATTCTATCAACACTGTTGTGCGGATTTAAGTCTTTCAGTAGTACTGGCTCCTCAGTGGAATGGGCTTCGTCACCAGTTATGTAAGACATAAATTATCAATAAAACATCTATTTATAAGGCATAAACTAAAAATATAAAAGAATAGTACCCAAAGACGGTAAGATTAATAAAACAATTTTAGGTAAGACTTGGTTTGTGTGAACCAAAGGCAAAGAAAATAGATGTGATTACAGGGAGATCTATTTTGAAATTAACTGGCCTAACAGTTCTTAAAAAAGGAGAAATGCAATCTGCATTTCAGTGTGAAAGACATGATTCTAATACCTCATTGTCACTTACAGTGTCATCAGCATCTGTCCCTGTCAAGTGACCGAGAAGTTTTATGGCTACAGAGGACTCAGCCATCCAGATGCAGCATGTTTTATCTGACTGACAAGATTCCTAATTTTTGAACATTTAAACCATTTCCCACTTTGCTTCTACAAGCTACTGAGGAAGTTAAACTGCTTAGAAGTTTACTGGACATTTAAAATCCAGAGGGAAAAATCC